AGCTAACGACGCAGTAAGCGAGAGAAGCAAACACACGAGGAAAAAACGCATCGCGATAAGCGCTGTCTTTGATAAGATGATCGACGAAAGGATAATAATTCATTCCTTCGCAGAAATCGTTGTTGACAGCACTTTCTGGAATTGGTTGCTAACTAATACGGTATAACTATTATTGTGCGTAGAAATGCCACGAAAAAGATACTGGAAAATGGCGCGTAAATGCCTTGCTCTTAAGGTGGTTACTGGTGAATTCAGCCAGTCTGATGCTAGATTTAACTTCTCCAGCCGTGGACGACAATGCATTGCAAACTGCCTGATTGCGCTTATTAAGCACGCCAATACTCGTGCAACTTTATGGCGTTCAAATGATTTGGATGAAATTCTCGTAGAAGGCGACAAACTATATCGTGGGGTCCAAGACTTTTTGGGTTATATTGACAACTATCTCATAGTCACAGAGTTGCCCTCAACTTATGAGTTGAACGACGTACTGTACGAAATAAAGTACCAGAGCCCATTAACTGGTGCTGTTGGTTCGTCAGAAGCTCCGTCCGAACATATGGTTGGCATAATGTCGCTTGCAGATTCTCTTGCAGAGACGTTTAGTAGCAGCGTATGTGCTCTCTTTACGCAGAACAGCAACACATTGGGAATAATCAAGGACGAATCGACGTACTTTGTTTTTGATCCTCATTCTCGTAATAGAGATGGTATGCTGTGCTATAATGGCACGTCAATTACGCTTGAATTTGGGTGTTTAGATGACGTTCATTGTCACCTTCAAAAACTACACCGAAATATCTCGCCCTCGGAGGATTTTGCTTGTCAGTTTGAAATGGTCGCCGTCGAAATCACCCAGGTTGTTGCTGGAAATGACACAGATGTGGTACAAGAAGTTAAAAGTACTCAACACGAGATGCTTTTTTCTAGACTAAACTATGCCACAAGATTTGACATTTGTAAAAAACTGGGATTGAAAATCGAATTGTTAATAGATGAAAATCCAATCAACGAACGACTGAACGAACCTGCAAAAGTTGTTTCAGTCAAGGCAGACGAAAATTGCTTTTTCAATGCGTTATCTCATGAGCTGTCCGGAACTGAACACAATAACGCACAACTTAGGCAAGCAATTGCGCAAAATATCGAAGAAAATCCATGCGTCTTTTCAAATATTTTGCGCGATGAATACGCGGAAGATGGGGTTGAGAATTATATCAAACAGTCCAAGATGTTTGATGACGGCACGTGGGCAACAGAAGTGGAAATAATTTCTGCTTGTGACTTACTGGCATTAGACATATACACGTATTTTGAAAACAGGTGGCTGAAGTATTCCAGAGCGTTACTGAATCGCAATTACGTTACGCATTCAAGGGGATCGATATATTTAAATAACAAAGGTGGAAATCATTATGAAATTGTTACGGACGTCAAGAGTTGGCAGAATGGCGATGATGAGGGGGATCCGGCCATGGTTACTCAGCACGAAGTTACGTGAAATACCGAATGGTATGAGGTGGGACACATAGAAAAGCAAACAACATCAAGTATGAGTGAAGCCGATATGCGCTATGAATTATGTGAAGAATATCGAGAGAATGTGAAAAAAAGTAGCAGGCGAAGGTATAAAACCGATCAAAACTACAACAAAAAATCAAATTTGAGAAGCTCAGCAAAATATAAATATAATGAAAGCCACAGAGAAGCATTAAAGACAAGAAGCGTAAAGAAATACGAAACTGACGTACAACACAGAGAAAAGGTAATAGCTAGCAATATTCAGAAGTACCATCTCGATGACAAATACAGGAAGCAAGTAAAAACCAGAAGTGCTGAGCAGTACAAACTTGATGAAAAACACAGGAAGCAAGTAAAAACCAGAAGTGCTGAGCAGTGCAAACTTGACGAAAAACACAGGGAGCAAATGAAAGCCAGAAGTGTCAAGAAATACAAACATGACGAAAAACACAGGGAGAGAATAAAAACTAGAAGCGTGAAGCAGTACAAACTTGACGAAAAACACAGGGAGCAAATGAAAGCCAGAAGTGTCAAGAAATACAAACATGACGAAAAACACAGGGAGAGAATGAAAACTAGAAGCGTGAAGCAGTACAAACTTGACGAAAAACACAGGAAGCAAGTAAAAACCAGAAGTGCTGAGCAGTACAAACTTGACGGAAAACACAGGAAGCAAGTAAAAACCAGAAGTGCTGAGCAATACAAACTTGACGAAAAACACAGGGAGCAAATGAAAGCTAGAAGTGTCAAGAAGTACAAACATGACGAAAAACAAAGGGAGCAAATGAAAGCCAGAAGTGTCAAGAAGTACAAACATGACGAAAAACACAGGGAGAGAATGAAAACTAGAAGCGTGAAGAAATACGATCTTGACGAACTACACAGGCAGGAAGTTAAAACCAGGAGTGCCAATATGTACAGATTTGATGCAAAACATAAACAACGTGTCAGAAACGTAGCTCAAAAGAAATACTGGTGCAGTAAACGCGATATGTCAGCTAAAAATTCTATTGAAAAATTATGAAAGTCGATAAAATGTGGACCAGATTGCGTATGCTGCATATGCATTCGATCGTTTTTCCGTAAAAGCGTTATCGTATACAAAAGAAATAAGTATAAATGCGGGAACATCAGCACAAAATATAAGCACAAATGTAACACTTTTTGCACGAAGCCCTGTGGATTTGTTAACGCAAGAAATATTTGGATATGTCATACTTGTAGCAGCAAACTCAAGAGTGGTAAAGTTCCTGTCAAAGCGTGGGACAACAACATGCTTGTAGAGGAAGTTCCGCCCGAGTTAGCGAGACTAAACTCAATTGAGCGCCATCTAATCTCGCTACATATTCCTTTCATGAAAATAAGTCAGTTGCCCAAAACTCGCCAATACGGAATTCATGGTCCAGTGATATGTGTACCTTCCAATGTCCAAAAAACGGTTACCGTCCTACCACGGGTGAGAGTGGATGACCAAATGTTGACAATTAAACTAAAAAGAAAACTTTCATACAAGGGTTACTATGATTACCAAGTTGTAGATAAAGGTAACCTAAGGGACGCCATCATGTGGTTAAAAGAGAATAATGATTTTTACACTGATGTAACGTTTAACGAAATCTGGAATCCTGACATAAACCTACGTGAAGAGGAGGAAGATGAAGAACTGTTGGAGGCACCTTCCGAAAATGTTATTATATCAGATGCCACTCTTGACACTTGCTTGCAACCTGTAGATATTGCTCAAGAAGTTTTAGACCAAATTTCCGAAGACGTTCTGTGCATTGCTCCCGCTGAAGGGAACCGCCCAATTTCAATATTGATGGATGACAAAAATGAAGCCAAAGCTTTTCCAACACTCTTTCCCTCAGGCCGTGGGACCTTTGGCGCATTTCGGGACGAACAAATTACTTTATCGAGATATATTAATTGTCGTTTGATGAGTGCCTCTTGTGGGTGAAAGATTCCCCGAAATACGGGGTCAACAGCAACACGGAGGTTGAAGCATATATAGATAGGCACGTAACTTGTCAGATTCCACAAGAGCATGAAGACAAAGAACTCTTTGACATATTTAATAGTGTACAACAGCATAGTAAATCCCACACCAAATCGTGCCGGAAGAAAGGCACTGTGTGTAGATATGGTTTTCCCAGGCCACCTTCTTCCAGGACGTTTATAGCTCAGTGTGACCAAGGTATTGCTGCAGATGATTCGGCCATTGCCAAGGCCAAGGATATATTTAAAAAATAATGTCACACATCTTCAATGAAAAATGGCAATGTGCTGAGGATGCAAATTTAGCGAAACTGCTTGAAGAGTTGAACATAACTCAGGACGATATCGAAATGTCGTGCAGGATGATCACAAAGAAGGTCTCGGTGATATTACAAAGAGAATGTAGTAGCATATGGACTAATTCATATAACCCTACATTGCTGCGGGCCTGGAACGCTAATTTGGATGTGTAATTTGTAACGGATGCATATGCATGTGTAGTTTATATTCTATCCTATATTTCTAAGGGAGAGAAAGAAATGAGCTTTCTAATGGAAGGATGCGTTAACGAATGCTTGAACCAAGGCCATCATTCTGCAAAGGACGTTATGAAAAAGATTGGGATGTTGTATTTGAGAAACAGGGAAGTGAGTGCACAGGAGTCGGCATTCAGAGCTTGCAATATGCCTTTAAAAGGATGTTCACGAAACGTAGTGTTTTTACCAACTGGGAATGATTCTGTAAAAATAAGCTTGCCATTGTCAGTGCTGAAAAATAAGTTGAAAGCAAGTGGCGGCGAGCTCAACCCGTCTGATATGTGGATGACAAGTATGATAGAAAAATATAGGGCAAGGCCAAGACAACAGGAAATTGACGAAATATTTGAGTATTTTTTCAAGATATCGCGTATTGTCACAAACACAGGCAAAAGGAAATAAAAAAGCTCTGGAACTGGAAAAAGGATTAGGTCATGTACAAAAGAGAGAAACAACTCAACCCGCGATAGTTCGATACCCCCGTTTTCGTAAAGAAAAAAATAGTGAAAAATATTATCGAAGTATATTGGAACTTTTTTTCCCACACCGAACCGACGAAGATCTGAAGCCGCTTTATTACAAAAATTATACAGAATTTTACAAATTTGGCAAGTGCTCGGTTCATGGTCGAAGCATGAATGTAAAAGAGCTCGTGACAGAAAATATGCGGAAGTTTGAAAATATACGCGAAGAACTTTCGGAAGCCGGAAATATGTTAGCTGATGAACAGCTTTCACAAGATGAGTGGGCTGATCTAATAGCAGAGCTCCAACAGCGTACTCGTGACGAGGGTAGAGACAGCAACGTAATACACATTGTTGAAGACGAGCAGGAATGTGATGATATTATATACCTGATCTCCATCAGACGACAAGCAAGATAACATTCGTAAAAAATGTTTTTATTAGTAAAGAGGAAGCCTTGCCAATCCTAAGATCTCTCAACGAAATGCAAACTGAGGTTTTTTACGCGATTCGACAATGGTGTGTAAAAAAAGCAAATGGAAAAAATCCAGATCCATTTCATCTTTTTATATCTGGCGGAGCTGGAACCGGGAAATCACATTTAGTGAAAGCAATTTATTACGAGACATCCAAGGTGCTCGCCAACAGAGCAGAAGACATTTCTCAAATCCGAGTATTACTGACCGCTTCCACTGGCGTTGCAGCATACAATATCAAAGCCACAACAATACACAGTACATTTAGCATCCCAGTACAAGCGACAATTCCATACAGACCACTTGCAGAAGAAAAACTCAACACCTTGAAATGCAGGTATGAAAATTTGGAATTATTGATCATTGATGAGATATCAATGGTCGATTACAAATTATTATCATATATTCATGGAAGATTACGCCAAATAAAAAGCGCAAGCGATGAGTTTCCTTTTGGCAAAGTAAGCATAATTGCAGTAGGGGATTTCTATCAACTTCCTCCGGTTAAAGCATCCCCGTTGTTTAAGCCAAATCCGTTGGGCAATCTATGGAATGGTTATTTTAAGCTAGTAGAGCTTAATGAAATTATGGGGCAAAAGGGCGATAAAAAATTTGCAGAAATGCTTAATCGTATACGCACAAAGAAAAAAGGCGAGATATTGAACGCATGTGATATTTCGATGCTCTCTCAGCGTGAAACTGGTGAAACAGAATCAGATATCATCCACATTTACCCAACAAACGCTCAAGTGAATGAATTCAACTTGAAACGTCTCCTTTCTCTTGATAAGGAAATAGTAGAAATAGCTGCTGATGTTTTAACTCCCACGTCAGAAAATCGCTCATCCAGTTGTCGGACACATATACCAATGGGTCAATTGCAAAAGACTTTGAAATTTTCTGTTAGGGCTAGGGTGATGTTGCTACGCAACATTGATGCAACCGATGGACTTGTTAACGGTGTAATTGGTACCATTGGGAGTATTCACCGCGCAGAAGGTACAATTGAAGTAGATGTCATCCATGTCCGATTTGACGACAATCGTGTTGGCGCCACATTGAGAATGAGATCAAAATGCAGATATGAGGACGGCGTTCCTATCACAAAAGTCGAAGATTCATTTTCAGGCCGCGGCAGTTACAAACAGTTTCCCCTTAAACTGTCGTGGGGATGCACTATTCATAAAATGCAAGGTGTTACAGTGGACGCAGCTCTCGTTGACTTCAAAAAAGCCTTTAGAGCTGGTCAAATGTATGTCGCGCTCAGTAGGGTGAGATGTGTTCAGAATCTCATCATAGAAAATTTCAGGGAAAGCGCTATACATTGCGACGAAGGAATTGAAAGTGCCATGTCAAATATGTCTCGATTTTTACCTGAAAAATGCAAAATATTTGATAATATCGATATTATATTGAAAATATGTTTGATAAATATTCAAGGATTAAGTGCACATTGGGAAGACTTGATGAGTGATTCCCGGTTTACAGAATGCGACGTTATTTGCTTGACTGAAACGCACGGAATCTGCTCACTTCAATCTTCTGTTTTTAATATCGTAATTCGAAACAGAAGTGAATGCTATGATAAAAACGATGATTTTTTCGGACAATTTAAAACAAAAAAGCAAGGTGGAGTTGGATTTTTGCTTCGAAGCGAATTGAAAGTGAGGGTGATGGACATTGAAGTTCTTAACCTGGAATTTTTATGCCTTCTGCTCGTCGAAAAAGATACCGTATTAGTGAGTATTTACAGGCCGCCATCTTATCCTTTGTCGAAATTTAGCAATGCGTTAAAGATTTTGTTAAAAGAACTTGCAAATCTGGATATGGACTGTCTCATAATGGGCGATTTCAATGAAGATCTGTTGGCTGACAATAAATGTATCGAGCAGACGTTCAGCATTGCTGGCTTTACTCAGGTTGTTCACTCTTACACCACAGACGGGTGTACTCTTTTGGATCACGTGTACATAAAAATGAAAACATGTAAAGTAACTGTAGAATCATTGCCGACGTATTATAGCTACCATAATGGTATTCGAATAGCTTTGAGTTTCGTCCCAGTCCCCGTTTCACCCTAAATACATTCAAAATACGCAAGTTGTGATTTATATATTTTTGTGAAGAGAAACGTACAAAATACACACGTAGTGAATAGTTGATATTCTTTGGAAGAAATCGTGGTCTCATGCATAAAATTTGCATTTTGTTGTTAGTTGTGTACCTCTACACATTTGAGGTGAATTTCAAGTTGGTAGGACCAATTTGAAAAAAAAAATAATAATAAATAACGTAAAATATGAAAAAATCACTCATGTATGATTTAGTCATGTGACCGGGAGTGCTACCCCAAAAGGCTAACATAAGTTGTGGTGTATCAACCGACCTCAAATACCAAGTTTGAGTTCTTAATATTCAATAGTAATTGAGATATGCGAAAAAAACTGGAAATTATGCTATGTGCACTGGAGCGTGAAGCCGTGATCAGTCATGCATGAACTCTGCAATTTATGATGGGGGACTTATTATCTGCATGTGATGTAAATTTCAAGTATCTAAGTAGTGTCGTTCTCGAGAAGAAGATGAAAATGTAAAATCCTATATTGCTCACTGTAGCGTATCGCCGAGGTCACTCATGCGTATTCTTGACATATCGTATCCGGAACATGTCCATTAATCATTGTTATGAATTTCAACCCAATAGCATGTATCAATTTTGAGAAATCGCAAAAAAAACTGAAGACGCGTTTTGCTCACTGGAGCGTGAAAGCGTGGTCAGTCATGCATAAAATTTGCAATTTACGATGGGGACTTATTATCTGCATGTGATGTAAATTTCAAGTCTCTAAGCAGTGTCGTTCTCGAAAAGAAAATGAAAAATCCTATATTGCTCACTGGAGCGTATCGCTGAGGTCACTCATGCGTATCCTTGACATATCGTATCCGGAACATGTCCATCAATCATTGTTATGAATTTCAACCCAATACCATGTATCAATTTTGAGAAATCGCAAAAAAACTGAAAACGCGTTTTGCTCACTGGAGCGCGAAAGCGGGATCAGTCAAGCATAAAATTTGCATTTTATTGCTAGCTGAGAACTTCTGCACATTTGAGGTGAATTTCAAGTTTGTAGGACCAATTTGAAAAAAAAATAATAAAAATAAATAATAACTAGAGCTGCGTGCAGCTTTAACAGGCTTCCCGCGTAAAAAAAACTGAAGACGCGTTTTGCTCACTGGAGCGTGAAAGCGTGGTCAGTCATGCATAAAATTTGCAATTTATGATGGGGGACTTATTATCTGCATGTGATGTAAATTTCAAGTCTCTAAGTAGTGTCGTTCTCGAGAAGTTGATGAAAATGTAAAATCCTATATTGCTCACTGGAGCGTATCGCCGAGGTCACTCATGCGTATCCTTGACATATCGTATCGTGGTCAGTCATGCATAAAATTTGCAATTTATGATGGGGGACTTATTATCTGCATGTGATGTAAATTTCAAGTCTCTAAGTAGTGTCGTTTTCGAGAAGAAGATGAAAATGTAAAATCCTATATTGCTCACTTGAGCGTATCGCCGAGGTCACTCAAGCGTATCCTTGACATATCGTATCCGGAACATGTCCATTAATCATTGTTATGAATTTCAACCCAATAGCATGTATCAATTTTGAGAAATCGCGAAAAAACTGAAGACGCGTTTTGCTCACTGGAGCGTGAAAGCGTGGTCAGTCATGCATAAAATTTGCATTTTATTGCTAGCTGAGAACTTCTGCACATTTGAGGTGAATTTCAAGTTTGTAGGACCAATTTGACAAAAAAAATAATAAAAATAAATAATAATAATAATAAATAATAATAATAAATAATAATAATAAAACACAGGAATACAATAGGTTCCCTGCTGACAAGCAGCGGGAAGCCTAATAATAAAACACAGGAATACAATAGGTTCCCTGCTGACAAGCAGCGGGAAGCCTAATAAAACACAGGAATACAATAGGTTCCCTGCTGACAAGCAGCGGGAAGCCTAATTATAATAAATAAATAATGATAATAATAAAACACAGGAATACAATAGGTTCCCTGCTGACAAGCAGCGGGAAGCCTAATTAAAAATGGAGAATTCTGGAGAGCAAGCAAAACCAATATAATCTCATGCAAAGATAATGTGGGAAGTGGAATGTAATAAATTGGCAAAGATAGTCATATTCATGAAGCCATGAAAGCTATAATTATATTTGTTGTATGTCTGCTTATATTAGGGTTACGGACTCCTTGTGTATGATTTGCCTTCCGTTTTTGATAAAGAATTTACGTCCTCCGAGGACGCTCAAAAATGCCAAAATGTCCTCCTTTTCATGGGATTAAATATTTGAATTTATCTTATGATATAATCAACAGTTTGTAATATGTCAAGTATCCATGCTTTGAGTCTGCTGCTAGTATACTCACTTAGTTTACAATTTTAACGACATTCTTGCAGACAATTGTACGATAAGGAAATAATAACCCGGTAATGTTAACGAAGATCAAAAAAACTGCCGAATACCCACGGTCTCCATTTACGGTTTGGAAATATGGTCACCCTAGCTTATATGTTTGTCTGTTATATATCCTCTTATATGTCTGCACTTATTTGTTTGTTTTCATTACTTGTTCGTTTGTTTGAAACGTGTATGTGTATATTTTCTGTGTAATAAATAAAATATCACATGACATAGACACTCTCTGTTAATTTGTAATTTAAACTCTCATTATATATCATGGCATCTCAGTATGTGAATATAGCTATTGTCGGCCAGTTTCCCGTCAGGTTATTTCTGATGTGCCAGAAGATGAGGCTTTATTAGCCATTAATGTGTATTTTAGTCAATTCGACTTAATTACATAGTTATTGAGCTTGATTAAAGCTTCTCGTTACTTGCATCTTAGATTTCACAACTACAAAAACAAGTGGAGAAACTGAAGGAAAATTTACATACATTTCTTAATCCTGACCAACTGGAATCACTGAAAAAGCCTCGTGGTAGCAGGGCAAATCAATGGACTGACGAAACAATTCTTTCTGCCCTGCAAATTAGATGTGCGATAGGAATTTCTGGGTATGATAAAAAAATAAAATAGGTTCAGTCTCTGCTGAGATTCTAAAAGTTGTTAAAAACCAATTATGCGTAATGAATTTCTGGGCATGCTCAAAAAAAATAAATTTAGATTTTGTAATACATATAAACATTGCGGTAAACGTCACCGTGAATGCAAACGAACATGATATATTTATTTGTTTTTTTAAGATTCAATATTTGATATTGGATTGGATGAAGACAAAATTACAGAAGACAGAATTACAGAATACCATATACCCGGTTGAAGAGCACTGGTCTAATCTCAGGCGGGCTATCCTGTATAGTGACCTGTATTGTTAGGCTTACCATACGTCCCGTTTTAGGCGGGGCAGTCCCACTTTTTAACGTCTTGTCCCGGCGTCCCGACCGGTCAGTCAAAAGCCCCGCTTTGGCGTTCAGACAGCCAGCATAATACACGAACACTACCAAATTAGCATGTTCTCGTTACTGTTGCGGCTGTGTAGCGTACCGGTAGCCTACTTACTGAAGGGGAATGCGTGATTTTGTTTGTTTCGTTGTAGTAAATTCTCAATGCTTGAAAACGACAGGCTATTTTATTACTTTTCTTCTATTTGTCGTGCATAAAGTAAATCTAAATTCGAATTCTTTTGTATCGCTATCGTCAATTCCTTTCTATTTTTCGAACTGAAACCGATATTTAGACAGAGAATATGCGCTCGATGCCAATAGTGTCAGCCGGGAAGGCTTAAAATGTAGGCATATGTAGTAAAATCGGAAAATCTAAAGATAAAAAAATCGTAACTAAAGGGTCTTGGTCTTTGGAGGTGTCCCGCTTTAAATTCACAAAAGTATGGTAACTCTATGTTTTGTACGACTGTATACTGCGACCTATCGACCTGTATTGTATAAAAACACTGCTGTGACCAGGATTCGAACCTGGGTTATCACGGCCACAACGTGAGGTACTAACCACTATACGATCACAGCGAATGTAGCAGAGGATGGTTTCGATCCATCGACCTCTGGGTTATGGGCCCAGCACGCTTCCGCTGCGCCACTCTGCTGAGTGTGCTGCTCGCTTTCATATTCATGTATGAATCATAAAATAGTGTGTAGTCGAGCGGAAAGAGATATTTTCTTGCAATATTAGAAAGACAGTAGAATGCTACACCAGCGAACAGGTAATAATAAATAAAATATGCTCTTGTACAAATAAGATATATTGAAATGAGTGAAACAAAAATAGTAACCCGTATTTTCGTAATATATTGCTATGTTTTGTAACAGATGATCCATCTAGATTCTAGTAGAAAGTATTTGAATGACAATTCGATTCTATAAGTTTTGCGCCTTTGGTAGCGCTACTTGAAATCGAGTATAAGTATAATAAGTACTGAAGTATAAGTTTATTTCGACTCCATAATCGGCATAACATAAAATGATTGATAAAAACAAATAAATAAAAATCGATTATGAAATCAGGAGAGCAAACAAAACCTTAGATAAGGTTTTCTGTACGAGAATGCTTGAAATTTTTTTTTGTCTCACTGAAAATTATTCATGGCATCAGGAGCTCATGAAATTCGAGTTATTGATTGTACTTTCTTCTCCTTTAGTTTTGGAAGTGTTCCTTCGCGAAACTCGTCGTGAAACCGTTACTACCGTGTTCCCCCGGAAATAAGACTGGGCTTATATTAAAATCATTTTTTAAATTCAGGCTAGGTTAGGGTTACCATATTTGAAAAAGCAAAATTCCGGACAGTGCATGACTATGTCGCACAACCTTAGTCCTAACCGGTACACGAAAACTATGTTCAGGTTGTGCGCCATCTTGGTGCGCATACTTCTTTCTGGAAGTCCCTATTTTCATGAGACCATATATATGCGCTACCGAAATGATAAAGCTGTATGATACTCATGCTAAAGCGCCAGCTACCGAAATGAAAAGTATTGTCTTCAGTCACAAGCAGAATCTCACACCAGGCAGGTAAGCACACTCTAAATATAGCGACGGGCCGTCGACTGAAAAAATCTCAACTTCAGAGTGAAAATAAGAATGAGAATTAGATTGTGCCGAAACGGAAGAACAGCAATTACATGCTTAAAACAAATTAAAGACAATCACTACAAATTTACTCTTCTGACCATACATATTTTTCTGAAGATCTAATTCTCTTCTTGTCTGATTTCAAAAATGAAAACAATTCACTACAGTGCATATCTTTGAAATTATATTGGAGAGTCAACATGCCTTTTATAGTCGCAACTTGTTTCTCTCTTTAGTCCACTGACTTTGCATCAGTGAAAAGACTCTCTCTACATTGGCATTGTGGGATGTAACAGCAAAGAAAAACAGTTCAATCCTTAAAATTTAGGAGTGGCATGTGATGTTCATAGACTGATCGAAATATTTGCACCATTTCTTATGCGTTGGCAGTTTAATAAATTCTTCGTCTTGCAGGTAACTTTCCACAAACTGCTTCAAGTTACAGAATTGGTCAAAGCATTTATCATCGTCCACATCAACCCGTTTACTAATCAGATGTTCCAGGCAAGGCTTTACATCAGGGGTCGGCAACCTTTTGTCGATCGCGGGCCAAAACCAAAGGTTGCAAGTCATTGGCGGGCCTCATATTTTAGAATGTTGAAAACCGAACGGATAGCCGATGAATCACACTTTTTCACACAGATCAGAAGTTAAATTTAGAGCAGCGCACGAAGACTGACCATTTGAATATTTTCTGCACCATTAAACCATTTGCGCTAAGCATCAACTTTTCTGCGTTTTGTTGCCATTTGTGTAACTATAATTAAATTATAGGGTCATTAAACGCGCAATTGTGAATTATATACTTGTTAGGTTATAACATAATTTAGCCTACGCGTGTCGCAAAATTAATTCTGTTACGTAAAGAATATAATCGTTAAAACTGCTGTTTTGTTACTATAATCCAGTGAAGCGTCGCGGGCCGTATTATATTGCTCCGCGGACCGGATCCGGCCCGCGGGCCGTAGGTTGCCAACCCCTGCTTTACATCCTTCCAACTTGGTATCTCGTTCAAGGTTATCCATTTGAAACAAGTAAACTCTTCCATTGGTTTCATCCATTTGCACAGGTACTCCAAGCATCGCTCATAGACGTTTGCAACTTTAACACCATTGATAAGGAAAACGCTCTGTTATATTAAAATTCCATACAACCTCGTAGTAAAAATATGCACACGGTACGAAATAACAATGTTCTGTATCAGCAGTGTGCACATTACGATTGCAGATGCAGTGAAATTCCGGACATTTGAGCATTTTTTTAAATTCTTCCCGGATGCGAAATTTAACCCTAAATTCCGGACATGTCCGGAATTTTCCGGACGGTATGGCAACCCTTAGGTCTTAGGTCTTATTTTCTCGGTAGGTCTTTTTATCGGAGAAACAAGGTAAGTAAATTGGCATCGTTTTAATGTTAAAGATGGGTTATCACGGAAATGATTTTGATGAATTTAATTCCATATATTTTTTCAGAATTTTTGACGCTCACTATTTACATAAAGTCGACTTAGTTTTACATTTATGAATTTTCAAAATTCACTTCAACAAAAATCGGGTCTCGTGTAGCTCCATACCTAAAGTACTTCTAGCAGGCGTAGCATAACAATTTTTTGATATGTCAAACCGTAAATATATACTACTACTAGATGTCCAACTCCGCTCGCCGTGTAATGAACAAACAAAGGCGATGTTGCACCTCAAAGTGGCGGGCGTCACGGTCGGTATAGTTCTGACACGGTGCTTAACGACGACGACGCTCCTGCATCACAGCTCGCAAACTCGCCCTGTTCATTGATGACTGATCAAAATATTTGCTGGAGGACGTGGAGAATTTGATAAAAATGAACAAATAATTGTGAAAATGAAGACACAGTCTGTCCTGCAAATGACCAGGATGATGTGACAACATCTTTGTCGAAAGACAGCAAGACATCAAAAATGCGATGCATTGCAAAAAATATCAGTCAGATGTAGGTAAAGTGGTGACGAAACTGAATACTTTGCACTTTATATATAAAAAAAAGCTCAGTAGCACAGCCTTTTGGTCTCACTCCATCTCACTTGACCTATAATCAGGGCTGCCATAACGTCCTTCTTTTTAAAATTTGTTCTTATTTTGAAGGTCTTTGTTTTAGGAAATATTTTTGTCCTTATTTCTAAGAAACATCTTTATTTTGACGTGTGTCCTTATTTTTAAACGTTATGAATGAATATACCAGTAAATTAAACTTTGAATTTAGTTTAGATCTGGAACTTCATAGGAGATAAAATGAGTAAACGTAAAAAATTTGCCGTGATGATTATGAGAAAGAATTCAACGCGTCAAACGAAACGAAGGGCCAGTGATTTGCGCACTGCAGCTATTGTGAATGTGACAACAATCTGGAATCCATAGGTAGAGCAGCAATTTCTGTTAACAATGCAACCCAGAAACACAAGGCTCTGCTCAAGAAATTAATCAAACCAATCTATAAATAATTTTTTTAAGAGTCAATGATTATACAAAGGCTATCTCAACACATGCACGCAGCTAAAATTTATTTCCATCATCACATCATTGAACATCCGACACTTAATATAAGAGAAAAATATTTTCAAATCATTCATGAGCGTATACCCATTAAACCAGGGCTTTCCAAACTAGGGGCCGCGAAACGAATTTTAGGGGCCGCGAAGAGAGCACCAATTTTACACAAAGTACCATATCAATTGTACTTTTTCAGACTCTTGAAGCGAAATACAATTATTAAAAATAGTGTAAATCGAAAATTCCACGATTCCGAGTGAATACATCATCAAAATACCGTGTTTCCCCGAAAAAAGGGACAGTGTCTTCAATTTTCTTTCGAAAATAACACTAGGGCTTTTTTGGGGATAGAGAATACCGAGATTTTTTATTATAGATATTTTATTCAAAAGTACAAAATTTGGGGTTGAAATACTGATATTTATTAATTTTGATGTAAAATTCCTGTTTGGGCCATGTTTATTTAACAAGATATTATTATATGTTCCCGACATACAATTTTTCTCAAACTTGGTTCGAGGTTACTTCACAATATGTTCTTTTGTGATATCTTCTTCAAAAGTGGGGCACGTAATCGAAAAGTACAAAATTTGGGGTTGAAATACTGATATTTATTATTTTTGATGTAAAATTCCTGTTTGGGCCATGTTTAACAAGATATTATCATATGTTCCCGACATACAATTTTTCTCAAACTTGATTCGGGGTTAC